AGTTCAGGGCGACTGTTGAGAGGGACCATCTGTAGAATCTCTGACCTGAGCCTTTGTGTGCCACGTTGCAGTGTCTTGGGTCACAGCCCAGCTTAGTCCCTGTCACGTGCCCACTCCCTGGGCATCCCCCCCACACCCATACCCCCAGCACCCGGAACAGAGCTGGAGCTGCTCCACTCGCAGTAAGGGGACGGATGAGCAGGTTGTCCTGTGAGTTGTTCTGGTGATTTTTTCCATGGTAGACATTCTGCACAAATTCTACCTGAATATGAACTGGCTCGTAAGAGACTAAGATAATTAATTTGCCGGTCGTTTTACTGAACCTACAGGCACCTCCTCTTTTCAAGAAAATTGGTATTTAGAAATGGAGGAAGTTCCTTATTAGAAAACAGATTCTTCACAAAAGGAATGCCCTCTGAGTTCCTTAGCACAAAAAGATATGTTTACATTTTATTTTTTTTAAAACGTCCTTCTTGTTGATGCAAGAATTGGTATAGGCTACTTACTCCAGGAGTTTCCTCTAACTTTTCCCTTTAAAAAGCGTTGGATTAAAGTAAGCTAGCAAAATATGTAACTGCTCCTAAGAACAAGATTCATGAAGGAGAAGAGACCACGTGGGACCTCCCAGGGATGCCTGCTTCCAGTCAAAGGAAACACTCCTGGACACTAACTGGACAGTTTGGCCTCAAGAGAATTAAATTAGATGTTGTAGCTCTGACGTTTTATGGGACGTGTGTGTGCGGCCAGCAGGAGTGCGCTGATTAGATGGCATGTCCTCTGGAAATTTGAAATGTCACTAGCACAGAGTCTGCAAGTGTCCAGTACCATCTTCACTTTTCTTTAGCTTCCTGCATATTTATGCTGCCAACAGTGTAACTTGTGGAATGTGACCAAACGCAAGAACTAAGAATTCTTTTGACAAAACTGAAATTATAGATTGTGTAACAGTTCAATTCATAGAAGATAACAGTTTTTCCTTCTGCCACTAAGAAGTCAGTGACTAGGATGAGAGTCAAATGAGGTGTTAATTCCCACGGAGGGTGGGCAAGAGGGACAGTCCGAAAAGAGGTCACTTCTCACAGGCCATCTGCCCGAGCTGGTCCCCCAGATGGGACCCTTGTTCTCAACGCAGCCTGCGTTCGCCCTGCATGAGATACCCTCCTCCCTGGGGGAGGAACGGGGCCACGGACCTTGGGAGAACCTGATGAAAGCTCCTGACGCTTCCCAGAGAGTTATAACAACATGGACGCAGAGTCTGCGAACAAGCCTGGGTGCTGGCGCTGCTCCGGCTTTGTGAACATCTAGGGGAGAATCTGCTGTTGCAGAGTTTAGGTCTCATTCCTTTTTCATTAAATACAGTAAAACTGAGAAGACTTTTAAAAATCAGGTAATCAACTTGCGCAATGCTGAAGCCTGTGGAAGCGGTTCGCTGCGTCCTGACACACGTGAGGTGCACGGGACGCAGGTGGCAAGAGTTTGCAGTGTTTCAGTCCTGAATCCGGTCCCTGTTACTGTGTGACTTTGCGGTCATTTTCCTCATCTCTGGGCCTCAGTTCTCGCTGTGCAGCGTGATAATACAGTACGTCTCCTAGGGGTGTTGTAAGAAATAGGCAGTAACGTCCAGCCCTTCCGGTAGCGCCTCGGTAGTAACGGGTCAGTGTGGAAATCTGCGTGAAGCCAGGAGTGAAGACGGCACGGCCCCTGGCCTCTGCCCAATTGAGGGTGCCCTGTGCTGCACGAGAGAGCGACCTGAACACGAAACCGTCACCCTCTGTCCTTCCCGCACACACACGCTGTCATCCTGACCACGTAACGCGTGTGCTTGGGCATTCCAGACGTGCCTGTGAGCTCAGATAGCTGAGGTTTTCCATACTTTTATTTAATTCTAGCTTTAGTATATTATCATCAGAGAGTTCGGCCTGTACGATCTCTGCTTTTTTGAAATGCGTTAAATTTTCCTTTGTGGCCATTTTCATAGTTGATTTTTGTAAATATTCTATTGACAAATAAAAATGCAGATTCTCTATTTGAAGGATGTAAGTTTTTCTGCTTATTTATTAAACAAGGTTTGGCGGTTATATTATTTAATTCCTCCACATCCTTACTTGTTTAGAATTGTTAAATTTGAAGAGACGTATAAAAATCTCCCACAGTATTTGTATTTTTGACAAATTCTCTTTAGGTTTCCAACAGATTTTGTCTTATATATCTAGCTGAATAGAGGCTAATGTGTGGTTATATCTTCTTTGTAAATTGTCTTGTGGGGGCTTCCCTGGTGGCGCAGTGGTTAAGAACCCACCTGCCAATTCAGGGGACACGGGTTCAAGCCCTGGTCTGGGAAGATCCCACGTGCTGCGGAGCAACTAAGTCTGTGCGCCCCAACTACTGAGCCTGTGCTCTAGAGCCCGTGAGCTACAACTACTGAGCCCATGTGCCACAACTACTGAAACCCACGCACCTAGAGCCCATGCTCCGCAACAAAGAGAAGCCACCGCAATGAGAAGCCTGCATACTGCAACAAAGAGGAGCCCCTGCTCGCCACAACTAGAGAAAGCCCGCACGCAGCAACCAAGACCCAAAGCAGCCAAAAAATAAATTAAAAAAAAAAATTGTCTTCTGCACTTTTATGTTAATTACCATTTTAACCTAAGATTTCACTGTCATCTATTAACATGGTCAATCTTGTGTTTGCACATCCCATTGTGGTGGTTTTTCTGGTTGGTGCCCTGTGGATAACTAGCTAACCCACCATGCCAACCCCACGCCTTCTGCTAGTGAGTTCAGCCTTTTTCTAAAGGATTTTTTTACGTGATATTAGAAAACTGTAGTTTTTGTTGATGATAGGAGGGGGTAGTTGGAATACTTATTTCCTTTTGTGACAGAATATCCATTCTCAGACTAAGACCTGGTGTCAGGGGTCCTCCTCACTTTGAAACTACTGAGGACCCCAAAGAAATTTGCTTATGTGGGTTTTGTCTAGTGGGTTTTGTCTATTAATATTTACCATATGGAAGTTAAAATAAGTTTTAAAAAAATTTCTCTATTTAAAAATAAAGAGGGGGCTTCCCTGGTGGCGCAGTGGTTGAGAGTCCGCCTGCCGATGCAGGGGACGCGGGTTCGTGCCCCGGTCCGGGGGGATCCCGCATGCCGCGGAGCGGCTGGGCCCGTGAGCCATGGCTGCGGAGCCTGCGCGTCCGGAGCCTGTGCTCCGCAACGGGAGAGGCCACAGCAGTGAGAGGCCCGCGAACCGCAAAAAATAAAAAAAATAAATAAATAAAGAGTGCCTGTGTCCTCCTGTGCCCATCTTCGCAGCGTCTGCGATGGTGGAATGTGGCGCGTTCTCAGGGCTGGATTCAGCGTGTGCAGCATCCTCGTGGGGCCCCGGGACCCTGCACTGCACACGAGCGAGGCGGCAGTGGTGCCAGGGAAGTTGCTTAGATCTGGGGTCCCAGGGGCTCCCTGGACGGCTCTCTGAGGGCCGCAGCCCATGGGCTCCGCACTCTCGCTTTTCTTTGCGGAGCAGGAGAGGCATGTATTTGCATATTCTGGTCTGTTTCTCTCAGATCCTGAGGGTTTTGAGAGCAGGGAGCCTTGTCAGGGAAGGTTGGTTGTTACTCACTGCCCAGGGCCGGTGGCTCGGTCTGTCGGGCCAGCGCTGGGAGCCCCACCCCTTCTGGCTGTCGTTAGCAGTGAAGCTGGCTTCAGGTCTCTAAGTTGGTTGTAAACGCAGGCGGGGAAAGGGTCTGAGTCAGTGTTAAAGTGGTGCTGATTGTGATGCTGGTCGAACAAGGAAGACGGAAGGCGCTAACATTTTGCTTTGTGACCACCTAGAGGGGTGGGACAGGGAGGGTGGGAGGGAGACACAAGAGGGAGGAGATATGGGGACATATGTACATGTATAGCTGATTCACTTTGTTATACAGCAGAAACTGACACACCACTGTAAAGCAATTATACTCCAATAAAGATGTTAAAAAAAAAAAAAAGATTGAGGAGCCGGACTGACCTTGTAGCCTTGGGCTTCTCAGGTGTTCTCTGGCCAGGGCCCTGGTGTGTTGTTTCTGTATTCACTGCAGCATAGGACGCTTTTATGTAAATATACTGGGAGTTGCAGAATGATTTTTTTCCCAACAATCATCATGTGATTGTCATATTTGTAATTTTTTTTTAACTTCCACGGTCAACATGGCAATGTGAGTATGTGAGTTAGCATTTTCTTTTCTCCCTCTGGAAACTCACAGAGGCAGCTAGGAGGATTGGAAAGGAGGGATGAAAAATTCCTTTTTCAGAGAAATAGGCAGATGTAATTCACAGATTCTAAAACCTGTTTAAGGCTTACCCACAGTGGCTCAGATTGGGCAGAAACAGTACGGGAAGAAGTGAATGGATGTGTCCAGGTGGGGAGGACTTGGCAGAGGCAGCCCTGGACCACACCAGAGACACGCGTGGCCCAGGGCGAGGCCCCACGTGGGAGGCGGAAATTACAGGACGTGAGGGGACACGGGGAAGCGGCTGACACAGGACTCCTGAGACCAAGTTTGTACAGAGAGGTGGGCCGTGGGTTCACCGAAGACTGATACGGATGAGCCGTGTTTGTGACAACCAGCTCTCCCCGGAGCACCGGAGGGGAGGGGACAGCACTGGGGCAGAGAAGCGGGAAGGCTGTCCTGTCCTTCCCAGGCCTTCCCCACCGGCCGCTGTGCCGGCATCGCGTGCAGGAGCCTGGGAGGCACGCCAGGCAGCAGCTGCGGGAGGGAGGGGCAGTGCCGTGCGTGTCAGGCGGGAGGCCAGAGGGGCAGATGTGATGTGAAGCCGTCGGGAAGGTCCGGCTCAGCTCGTGTGAGGCTGGGATGTTCAGAGGAGAGGGCACGGCAGGACGCTGGGTGGACCCCCAAAGATGTGCCGTCGTGGGGAGGGTGTCACGGCCTGCATCCTCCTTCCCTGTCACTTGGGGGCGTTTCCCTTCAGAGGTGATGCTCACCTGTAACTCCCCTGCACAGCTGTTGCAGCTGATCGCAAAGTCCCAGCTGACCTCGCTGAGCGGTGTGGCCCAGAAGAATTACTTCAACGTTCTGGATAAAATCGTTCAAAAAGGTAAGGTGACGACTGATATCTTTAATAATCTAAATCTTAATTAGAAATTTGGTGCAAGGAGATTGGATTTTTCTCTTATTTCCCCCCAGTATTAACAGTGTCAAATAATGTGACGGTGTCACAGGGCAAAGGGCAAGGGCTCGGGTTGGCTGCTCAGTTCTTGATGTTGTTATTGTTGTTCTTTAAAAGGTGCTTTTGCATGTACAGAAGAACACACTGTAATGAGAAAGACAGTTTTTTTTTGTTTTGGGGCCACACTGCGTGGCATGTGGGATATTAGTTCCCCAATTAGGGATCAGACCCGTGCCCCCTGCAGTGGAAGCGCGGTGTCTTAAGCGCTGGACCACCAGGGAAGTCCCAGAGAAAGGTAATTAATCCCTGAGTTTTAAAAAGACACTTACTGTTTCATGGGTAACTAGTCACAGCTCACCTTAGCTGTATAGTGTTTCTATAATTAGCAAGGTTGTGACTGAGTTCTTAGGCATCAGATAAGCCTGTCATTTTAATTTTTTTTTTTTTTTTTTTTTTTTTCCTTGCATTATGCGGGCCTCTCACTGTTGTGGCCTCTCCCATTTGCGGAGCACAGGCTCCGGACGCGCAGGCTCAGCGGCCATGGCTCACGGGCCCAGCCGCTCCGCGGCATGTGGGATCTTCCCGAAACGGGGCACGAACCCGCGTCTCCTGCATCGGCAGGCGGACTCTCAAGCACTGCGCCACCAGGGAAGCCCTGTCATTTTAATTTAATGTTTGTCCTGATTAGTGGCCAGTAATAAACGGAACTTTGAGTTTATGCATATATATGCCATTTTCAATATCCATTCTCATGATTAAGTATAAAAGAAAACAGAGACTGACAGGTTTAAAGGCAAAACTGTGGACTCAACCAAAAATACACTATCAGACAATATTTTGAAGTTTTAAAATCTCATCCTACTTGTGATATCTCAGAAATGATGCCACTTTGGAGTTGCAGTGAAATTAGATCATAATTTTTTATTGTGGTTAAATATACATAAAATTTACCATCTTAACCACTCTTAAGTGCACAGCTCAGTGGCGTTAAGTACATTCACATCATTGTGCAGCGATGGCCACCATCATCTGCAGAGCTCACCTTGCAGAGCTGACACTCTGTCCCCATAAACACCAACCAGCACGACTCTCCCCCCACTGCCCAGCCCCTGGCGCCCACCATCTACTTTCTGTCGCTGTGAATTTGACTATTCTAAGGACCTCATATAAGGAGAATCACACAATACTTGTTCACTTGTGGCTGATTCTTATCATAAGGGCTTCAAGTTTCATCCACGTCCTAGCACATGTCAGAATTTCCTTCCTGTTTAAGGCTGAGTAGTATTCCATTGTGTGTATGTATCACACTTTGTATATCTCTGTTATCTGTTAATGGGCCCTTGGGCTGTGAAAGCAGGTCATTCTTTTTTTTTTTTTTTTTTTTGCGATATGCGGGCCTCTCACTGTTGTGGCCTCTCCCGTTGCGGGGCTACAGGCTCCGGACGCGCGGGCTCAGCGGCCACGGCTCACGGGCCCAGCCGCTCCGCGGCATGTGGGATCTTCCCGGACCGGGGCACGAACCCGTGTCCCCTGCATCGGCAGGCGGACTCCCAACCACTGCGCCACCAGGGAAGCCCAGCAGGTCATTCTTAACAGCGGGGGTTGACTGTATCAGTGCATTGTTTTTGTTTGTTCCAGTTCTCGATGACCACCAAAACCCTCGCCTAATCAAAGATCTTCTCCAAGACCTAAGCTCTACCCTTTGCATTCTAATTAGAGGAGTGGGGAAGTCCGTTCTGGTGGGAAATATCAACATTTGGGTTTGCCGGTTAGAAACTATTCTCAACTGGCAGCAGCAGCTACAGAATCTTCAGATGACTGAGGTATGCATTTCTTGGCCTACAAGTGAGTATGCTCTGTTTTTCTATTGCAAACACCGTTGTTACTTCTAAGCGTATGTGAAAGACTGTTACAACTTCTCCAAAGGTTTTTTCCTTTACGTTTTCATAAATATTAAACTGTTGTAAGATGGATTAAGACCAGAAGACCCTTTAATGGGTTATAGGTGTCATTGGGAAGATGGTGGGGATGGTAATTATTAAAAAGAGCCCATCCTGTGGGTGATGAGGTGGCGAATTGATTTACCTTTACAGGAGATTAGGTATTTCAGGCTAAAATAACGTTCAGTGAATTAAGGCTAAGTTGTATAGTAGTGACTCTGTTCGTCTGCTGTTGCTTCTCTAGGGTTGATGTGTTGTACGTTGCATGGTGTGTGTACATGTGTCTGTAGTTCAAAAGGAGCGTGCAGATAACTCCAGTTCTGATGCTTTTTGTTTATTCTGGTAACTAGTTTCGTCAAGAAAAACGTTGACTCTGTTGACTAAATAAGTGTTTTAGGTTGTGTTTTATTTATCTCTGGTTGCTTTCAAAGGTGGCCTTGGAACGCTGTAACTTTGGGCCATTTATTTGCTACCTAAACGTGGGATTTACAAAGAGCAGTGATTCCCTGATTAAGGCCCTGCAGTTACAAGGGACGATCTAACATCCAGTGTCCAGGCGGCCTTGGTGTGAGCGCCGCACAGACCCCACCTCGTTGCCACGGGCAGGGGCTTGTGCTGTGAGGGCCACCTGCCTGAAGACACATGCACCTGGGGCGTGTCTGCTACCCAGGCCTTGATAGACGTGGCCAGGTGCCACTGTCCCCTAGTAGCTGATGCGTGGTGACGCCTCGTCAGCTGGCAAACTCGGGGAGCGTGGGTGTCAGTGGTCGGGATCCCCAGGGAAGGGAATGCTTGTCGCGCAGGTCCAGGCAGGGCCGCTGCTGGGCGCTATCTGGAGAGAAGTGGGGAGGAAGGAGGGGCGGGCGGCCTTCCCGTCGCCTGGGCCTCAGACGTCAGCGTGAGTGCCGCGCTCCCGCGCCTTCTCGCTGGAGTAAGCGCGCGGGTCCTCCCAGCAGGTGGACAGCGGCCTGACGCTCAGCGACCTTCCCGTGCACATGCTCAGCAACATCCTGTACAGGTTGTCGGACGGGTGGGACATCGTCACTCTGGGTCAGGTGACCCCGACGCTGTCCGCGCTCAGCGAGGACCGGCGGCTGTGGAAGAAGCTCTGCCAGTACCACTTCGGAGAGAAGCAGGTGAGCACATGGGCTCCGGGCCAGCGGCCGGGCCGGGCCACATCGGGGGGCGGACGAGAATCAGCTACGGGCAAGCTTGCTCTTCACGCTGAGAAAGAGCCGTGATTCTAAGCACAGCCCAGAGCAGAGGAGCAGGACGACAGCAGGTTCTTCCTGTTGAGGACGGGCCCCTTGTTTTTCCCGGAGCTCGAGGCCTCTCTCCGGGGGGTGTGTCACCTCTGAGATCATGGGTGGCCACCGCTCCCCGCACCCCTGCCCTCCCAGGACCGGGACTAGCCACGGGGACCGGCGGACTCCTGTGTGTCCCCCTCATCGTTGCCCCCCTCCTCGCCCCCCGCCCCGTGTTGTTTCTGGAGTGAAGCCCCGACAGCTGGGCATCCACGACACGCACGGCAGCGTGAAGGGCAGGGGACAGTTTCGGACGAGGCAGGATGCGATCCTGCCCCAGGGGGTCCTTGCCGAGGGGACAGACGTCACGTGTCTCTTCAGACACGGGCTCGGGGGACGTGTGGGGTCACGTGCCCGTCCCCTAGGTGGACACGGCCACTCCGGGGGGCATGGCAGGCAGGGGCGTCCTGGCAGTGAGCAGGTTCAGGCCCTGAAACTGAGAAGTGCACGCTGGAGGGGGTGAGGCTGGGCGCGGCCAGGCCACGAGGCCGCCACGGTCCCCCTTCTTGGGGCGGGGCGGAGGGGGCGCCCCGGAGTGGAGTCTAATATTCCGAGGAACCGAGAAGCTGTTGCTCAAAGTCGCCGCCCCATCGGGCAGCCCCCGACTGCTCCACGGCCCCGGCCCCGCCTGTTACTCTGAGTGTTTGGTCACAGCCTCACGGGGGTCGTGAGGGGCTGCCTCCTCCCATCCCTGATGCCCGAGGCGCTGAGCATCTTTTCATGTGCTTGTTGCCCATTTGTATGTCTTTTCAAGTCCTTTGCCTATTTTGTATTTGGATTGTCCTTCTGTTACTGAGTTGTGTTCTTTCTGTGTTCTAGTTACAAGTCCCTGGCAGATACATGATGTATGTAACTTATTTTTAGCTTAATAGTATGTCGTGGACATCATTCCAGATCAGAACCTTTAAGTCTGTTTAACAGCTGCATGGTATTCCATTGTATAGATTGAATTATATTTGAAATTTAATTTCTAATATTTGAAATTTAATTTCTGTTTCATGCAGTATACTGCTTTTAAAAAATTGTTATGCTATGAAAACCATCTGATTCTGAACAGAATTTTTTCTGTCTAGTTTTGTAGACACTTGATCCTTTCAGAAAAAGGTCATATCGAATGGAAGTTGATGTATTTTGCGCTTCAGAAACATTACCCGACTAAGGAACAGTATGGAGACACACTGCACTTTTGTCGGCACTGCAGCATCCTCTTTTGGAAGGTAAAAATTTCAGATGTACTCTTGGAGTTTGAGGATTAAAATTTGGAGAAACAAACTATTCACCTAACGGTAATGGTAAAAAAAAAAAAAAAAAAAAGGCAAGTTGTATTTGTGATAAGATAATGATGTATCACCAAGGACTGGGGCAGGGGAACAGGTTCACAAAAGTAGAACAACTTGCGGTTGGACCTGAACGTCGGGCCACCCACCCCGTCCCCTTGCACTGTGGTAGCAGGTGGGGGGAGGGGCCTGTCCCCGAGGGTGGTGAGCGCGCTGGCTGGTGCCTCGGCCCGAGTCCTGGCGGGGCTGCTTTCTGCTGTTGGCAAGGCTCAGGATCCCCCACCCTCTTCTGGAAGCCGAGGGGGCCCCTCAGCTGCCCTCCACACTTGGCCTCAGCCTCCACTGTCGGGACCCCCGCAGACGGCGCCTCCAGGGGGCTTCTCCTCACAGCCCTGTGCCTGGAGCAGAGGCGAGGCCCACGAAGGTGCCCGGGCTTCTCATGTGTTTGAGCCACACTTAGCAAGTCTGATCCTCGGTGGAGACCGAGCCACGTCTGCAGTTGTCTGGGCCCATTACCCTCCCTCTCTGGCTCCCTTCCTCTCCTGTCTAGACTCTGATAAAAACAAGTTTCCAGGGCGGGGGAGTGGGGTGCTTCCATGCACCTCCTCTCAGTAAAATCATTTCCATAGTTTGCCTTGAGTTTGAATTTGCTTGTTAACGTGGTGAAATTTCACTAGGGAGAAAAGTGGCGAAACTGGCAGGTGGTCGGCGCCTGCCCCTCCGTGTCCTTGGGCGTGGCTGTCCGCCTGGTCAGCACCTTGGCTGTTTGTGTATTTCTTTTGCTCTCATTTATCTGTAATTTGTTGCATGGATTACATGGCAGACTCTAAACTGTTGGAAGAGAAATGACTACTTTAAATTGTTTTCATTTCAGATTATATCCGTGGTAACGTGGCTCTTTTTTAACTATAACCTGTGGTTGTGGCATGTGAGTCCCTTTGTCAACAGAGCTTTACCTCCTGGGCTGCAGGCGAGCAGGTCCTGCTGTCCCCACTCGTGACCAACAGGAGGTCACGTTATTGGTAATTTGTTGTTTTGTATTTTAGTGTGGCTTTTCCCACACAATTAAAAAGAAGAATTGTGTTACGTGGCTGTTCTGTGGAACCTTGTTCCTCTGGGGCAGGGGCACTTCGCGCTCATTCTCACCAGTGTGCCGGCTGCGTTGCGCGGGGACGCAGGCGAATCAGTCAGCGGATTACAGTACATGGAGCGGAGCCCTTATTGTGTACCCTTGGTCCCAGTCACAGGGATAGAAACGCATACCCGGGCAGGTGCCCGTGGAAAACACGTGAGGAGGCGTCTTCACGGCTGAGTCAGAGCAGATGAGACCGTCTGGTTGCTGCTCTGAACTGACGCTCCTCCCCAGGGTTTTCTGTTCTCCTGAGCAGACCACTTTATTCCCGAGAGAGACTGGGAGCAGTGGTGTTTCTTCCTGGGGCGGATGTGATGGGCGTTTCTCTAAGAACGCTGCTGCAGGGTGTGGAGAGTGTGGGAGCCCTGTCTCTGAAGTAGTGAACAGAGAAGCGCCCTCCCTGGTCCCCCTGCTCTTGGTGTAAGAATGTGCTGCTGAGGCATCGAGAAGCACAGCAGAAGTTCTGGAGTTTTTAAAACTGAGGGGGTGATTCTTTAGGTCTCCAGAAGAATTGCCCTGCGGATTCTTTTGTTTATGAAAATTCAGAACAAGTGTCTCCTGCCGGTCTTTGGCTGTGAAATGTTCAGTCTTGCCTTGAAAGCTGAGCACTTCGATGTCCATGCAGCCTCAGGCCTCAGGGCCTGGTTCGGTCCACCCGTGGGGTCACATTGTAGCTTTTTCTCCTAGAGGCCATTCCAACTTTATTCTGAATCTGTGGGTGGAAATTTAAAAAAAAAAAAAAAAAAAAAAAAGATGAGTCTCTGGAATTTCTGGTGGAAACTGCTAGCAGTGTCAGCTCCCGAGGAAGGCCCCCTGCGTTGCCCCAGCTGACCGGATTCTCCCCCCGGCTCGTCCCGCACCATCCCGTGGCCTCACCCCAGTTTCCAGCCTCGTGGAGCCTCCTGTCGGGGCACACCTGCCGCGTGGAGTCGTGAAGGTTAAGCAGTGCCCTGCCCTGCGCGGGGCTGGTGCTCAGAAGTGGCCCCTGTGCTTTGAGTCACCTTCGCCAGCACTTTCTGCTGATGGGGAGACAGCAGCGTGACACCGTCAGATGCCGCCGGGTGCTGGTGGGGACCCGCCATGGTCCGGCTCCCGCACGCTGCCGGACTCGTCCTCTTCCGCCCACGTGGGCCTGGGCTCTGACCTCTCAGCTGCCCCAGCCGTCCTGTCTGTTCTGGCTTCACTCTCTGGAGTCTGGGGGTTAGTTTTCTACCTGCCTTTGTGGGAGCTCCTCCAAAGTGAAAGGAGGGGAAATACTGGGCTTGAGAACTGTGCACCACTGTCTTGGAGTCACTGAGCCGAGTCACCCAGGCGAGCGCAGGTGCCGGCTCGGGGTCTGTCTGGCTTCTGTGGGCCGGCCCTCCCGGGTTGCTGAGTAGTGATGCGAGACCGCTGTGTTCCTTCTGCCTGACCGTCCTCCAGCTGAGTTTCTCGACGTCATTGAACTTCGGTCAACACTGGGGGTTGGGTGAGTTGGAAGCCTGACAGAATGAGTCCAGTTAAAGGCTGGGAATCAGGACCCCGTGTCCTTTTTTGTCTCAGCGTGTCCACTGCCAGGTCCACACTGTGGGTCTGTGGCCGGAGCAGGGAGGCTGCTGGCCCCAGCCCGTGCTGATGGCCAGCCCCCGTCTCCAGCGAGGGTGGGGAAGCCGGGCCAAGTGGCCGGGCCGGCAGGAGGCGAGAGCGGCAGGTTGGTGCTGACCTCGAGCTGAAAACCGTGGATGTGCAGGAGTCCGCACGGGAGCTGGGCTCTGGGGTGCCTGGGCTCGCGTGGAGTCTGGATTGTGCTCTGAATTCCACGGAGTTGACTCTCAGACAGCAAAGAGGGAATGAGGGAGCTTCCGAGAAACCTGCCGTAAATATTTGCAGTGTAAACCGTATGTGTCAGTGTTGTTCTGCGCACTTTCAGTGAACAGTTCCAACGGTTATTTAGCTCTGCAGCCTCATCGGTTGTCAGTCCGAGACTCGAGGAAGTGGAAACTGTGGCAGTGTCCCAGGTGGCCTGCAGGTGCTGTGGCCCTTCAGGTGCTGGACGGTGCCTCTGATTCAGCTGCCCGATGATTTTAGCCGTTTTCGTAAATAATACACATCCAGCCTAAATGCTAAGTACGGTCTGGCTCTTCCTAATAACCCTGTTTTCCCTTTTTTCCTCCCTTCTCTGCACTCCTTCCTGACCCTTTCTCCGCCGTCTCCAAGGACTGCCGCCTTGCTTTATTACTCGAGGTACCTCCTGCTCTGCCCGCATCTGCGCGCGTCCCCAGGAGGCTGGTGCCCCTCAGGCCGCGCCCTCTGCTGATGTGCGCCTGGCCTGCTTGCTTCGCCACGACCGGGGGTCCCATGAGCTGCCCTGTAGACCAGAGGGAGGGTGTAGACTTGGCCCCCAGTCCCGAGGCTGCTCTGTCTCCTGACCTGAGCCCCGTTTCTGCTGCGGGACACGGTGCTGGGCCCTCTGGTGAGTGGGGTGGGCGGTGCCGAGAGCAGGTCCTGGGGTGGACCCTGACCCACGGCGGGAGGGGAGGAGCACGGCCAGGACGGGGGCGCAGAGCCCAGGGCTCCCTCTGGGGCCCTAACTCAGGGCGGTCCGTCTCCCCATCCACGGGAGCAGGGAATTCCTTCGGGAAGTCTCTCCCCCGGGGAGCCGCGTGGCTGCCTTCATTTTCGTAGTTCTCATCGCTTGCCGTCCACGCACCTTTGTGGTGGGGTCCGGGGCGCGTTTAAACAAGCAGCTGGCGACTTCTGAGCTGCGTTCCCTCCAGAAGCACGCCCCGTGTGGTAATGACCCACTCCTCCCGCAGGACTCGGGCCACCCCTGCACGGCTGCTGACCCCGACAGCTGCTTCACGCCCGTGTCCCCGCAGCACTTCATCGACCTCTTCAAGTTCTAAGGGCCCCACCGCACCGTGGCCTGGGCAGCGTGGTAGGACGCGTCCTCCGTGACCGAGCCGTGACCTGGTGCCCAGGCTGGAGGGCGTGGAGGGACGTGCAAAAGTGACCTGGCACCTGCGGGCCGGAGCATCTGTTGTTTCCACCCGTGAAGTGGGGCCAGGGACCCCAAGGAAAATCATTTCTACGTCCTTAAAAAATGCTTTTCTTCTAAGCGCATTAAAATGTGCAACTTTGCATGTTTGTGAATGTGGTTCAGAAAGAGTCTGTATTTTCAGCACCACGTCCTGTGCTGAACTGACACTAACAGCCAAGCATACGCTTCTTAATTGTCAAATGATAGTTTCCTGATTTTGTAGTGATCGGGGGCGGGGATAGATCATTGATTGATCCTTTTAAGGACATTGTGCAGAATATTTATTTTTCTTGAGATGTATTTTAACTGTATCGGTCGTGTCCATATGAATCCTCTTGGATACAGAAGGAACCCAGGGAAGAACGTGCATGTCTTCTGGGTGCTCAGCGTCGGGTTGTGAATCGTGCAGACACCCGAGACCCACAAAGGCGAGAGTCCGGGGCTGTGATCCCGGGCTCATGGCCCGATGCCGGCAGGCAGGGACCCTGACCTGGGGGCCAGCCCAGTGTGACCTGCACTGTACTGCTCTGAATCCCCTTTTGCAGGCAAAGTAATAAATCATGTTTATCTACCGATTTTACCTTCATCAGTTTTGCATCTTACTGAAGGAAATAGTGTCAGTGATTTTGACATCATTTACTGAAACCTTTCAGAGATTGTTTTATTTTAAAAATATTGCATGTACATTTTAGAAAGTTTTGAAAATAAAGGTTTATAAAAGAATAAAACTTGCATATAGCCCTGCCACCCAGAGATAGCTGTGCTTGCCAGAAGGAATGCAGGAATGGCCCCAGCAGGTGTAGAGGAGACTGAACAGGGTCAAGGACCAAGCAAAGTCATTTCTACTTCCTTCTTAGCACATGGAAATTTGCTGTTTTGCATATTTGTAAATAAAGAGTGTATTTTCACTACATTCTGTGCTGAACTGACACAGCCAAGACTATGCTTAATTGTCAAATGATAGTTTCCCTCTGTGTGTATTGGATGAAAGCTTTTCATAAAACCGTAAACATCATATATACTGTTTTCATTTTATAACCAGCCTTTTTTTCCAAAAGTGTTTGTGAAAATACGGTTTTTACTGGTGACATGGTACCACACAGCTGGAACAGATCACTTTGTGATCAGCATCACCACATGGGCACCTTTGTGCGTCTGATGATCTCCTTATGATTAACAAGAAGCAGAACCAGGGAAACGAGTCAGTTGTTTGTAAGGATGTTTCCAGAGCGCTGGCGAGGATGGAAGGCGGCATCTTTCTCCCCCAAAGGTGGACGTGAAGAGGCTGTGAGGTAGGGCATGTCTTCTGAAAGCTTATTGGTGAGTTGTTTCTGTATTTTTTTAATATATAAATGTATTTATTTTTGGCTGAGCTGGGTCTTCGTTGTTGTGTGCGGGCTTTCTCTGGTTGAGGCGAGCGGGGGCTACTCTTCTTTGTGGTGCACGTGCTTCTCATTCTGGTGGCTTCTCTTGTTGCAGAGCACGGGCTCTAGGCACGCAGGCTTCAGTGTTTGCAGCACGCAGGCTCCGTAGCTGTGGCACACGGGCTTAGCTGCTCTGCGGCATGTGGGATCTTCCCCAACCAGAGCTCGAACCCGTGTCCCCTGCGTTGGCAGGCGGGTTCTTAACCACTGCGCCACTAGGGAAGCCCTGTATTTTGTTTTGCTTTGGCAAATTACCTAATTGTGTTCTTTGCCTGTTTTACTTTTGGGGTGTTGGCCTTTTTTGTATTAGTTTCTTCTTAGGAGGACGTTAACCTCTTGAAGTGAGTTCTTTTCCCCAGATAACATTAAAAGTCTTGGGAGAAGAGTCCAGCTGTTCCCCCTATTCTATTAATTAGCCCATTTCCAGAGGCAGCCGATGTGCTTGGACCCAAAACCGCACACAGGCATTGGCAAAACCTACAGCAGGTATGCCTGAGGCCCGCAGCACAGGGAGGGGGCGTGAGCAGGATACATTTGGGGGCAGGCAGAGAGTTCCAGGCACACAGTTCCTGGGCCCTGATCACTCATTGACGGAAGATCAGATGACGTGAACAGGAAGAGAGGGATCGTCCTGAGCTGCAGGTTCATGTGGCGTTTCTGAGTGTGGTTCCATCAGAGGGCTCACCAGACTCGGGTTGCACGGTGTCACTCCCCACAATGTGTCATCTGCACTCCCTCTACCCTCTCAGCACGGCCAGGAGTGGGCCCAGAGCCGCCCCTGCGGGAACTGCCACCCTCAGGAAGTGGCATCTAGAAGTCTGTGGCGTCTTCCTTTGCCTTGAGGTACATTTTCTCACCCGGGTTGTGACTCATGGGCCAGGAGGAGCCACATTAGGTTCTGCAGCAGGTCCAGGTGCTAGTCTGGGAGTTTCATGGCATCTGTTGTGCGTTTGCTCAGGGCTGTCCATGGTGAACCATGTCTCCTTCAGGGACAGTATTGAAGGATTTGATGTTATTTCTGCTGTAAATGCTGCTTTTAGAATCATATAGATTCTAACAAACATACAGATTCAAACAAAATGCCCACGTAAGGTGTTTGTATACTGATTTTGTATCCTGTAACTTTGCTGAAATCACTAATTAAACCTAGCGGTATTTTTTGTAGATTCCTTAGGACGTGGATATACATCGTGTCCTCTGCAAATAAGAGGTGGCTTTTCACCTTTCATTCTTCCCTCCCTCCCTCCCTCCCAGCTTTCCGGCCAGACCCCCATGCACGTGGACGGCAGTGCACACACATCCTAGCATTTTCCTGGGAGGCTCCCTGCCCTTCACCTGTGGGTGTGGTGCATGCTGGGCATCTCTGTGGACGCCTGTATCAGGGTGAGGTGCTCCCATCCAGACTCGCTTTGTTGACGTTTTTTTTTTTTTTTTAATCATGAAAGGATGTTAGATTTTGTCCATTGCTCTTTCTACATCTACAGAGGTGGTCGGGTGTTGACTTTTGTATGTTGAACCAACCTTGCATTTTCAGGCCCAGGTCCCATGTGGTTTCCATACACAGTTGGTGAGTTTAGTTTGCTGGTTTTACTGAGCATTTTCACAAGAGAGATTAGCTGTGCTTTTCTGGTGAGTCTTTGTCTGGTTTTGGTATCAGGGTGAAAACAGCCTCCTAGAAAGGGCTTGCCTTGGGAGCATTCCCTCCCATTTTCTTGGAACAGTTTGTGAAGAATTGGTGTGAGTCCTCCTTTAAGCATTAGGATAATTCCTTGGAAACTGAAGTTACTGAGGAGAAGCGTCTCTTTTCAGTTTAGTGACATCCTCCCTTTTGGAAAATCCTTTGCCTTTAACGGGATAGGGTAGTTTTGTCTTAGCTGAGACGTATCTTGGTTAGAGCTCATTTTCTTCATCATGGGCCCTAACCTAGCAATAAACGGGCTGTAAACTTCATCTGCTGCTTTCCTCCATAGTTACAGAAGGAAGTGTGCTGAAAACCATAGATGAAAAGGCAGAAGCTGTCTTGGCTTATGACCTTTCTTTCATGAACGGTGTGAGAAAATGCATATGCTTCACTCCTCTCCCTTTCCTGTATTCCCCACCAAACGAAGCATCACCCCCACCTGGTGAGATGCCCAAGGATCTGCAAACCTGGGAGGGAAAACCCTGCGGGACCCAGTGATTTCCTGCTGCCGACAACTGCTCGGCTGAAAGGCCCGACATCCACTTGCTTCTCAGCTCGCACTCCCCTGCTCCTGTCTGGGTGTGGTTGCGTCTTCTGACCTCACTCCAGACGAGCTCTGCTTTCTGTCCCTTTTTGCAGAGGGAGCAGACCCTCACTTTTGGAGAAGTGTCCCCTGGGCGCCCCCCAGAATCCCAGCAGGGACGTGCCACGTGCACCTTCCTGACCCTGGCTATGGCTGGTGTGGCCTGCTCCTTCCCACCACACAGGTGTGACTGCAGCGCCCCCTCGCCAGCACCTTCTGGGTGTCATCGGCACTTGCATCTCTCAGGCGTATTCCTGAGGGTTCTGCTGCCCTCCCCGCGTCCAGCACCGACTCAGGCCCACATGGAGAACAGAGGTGCTCGGAGCACAGCCACCTGAGGACGCGAGAGGGCTCTTCACATGCCTCTCGCTCAGGATGGCGAGATTCTCCACACACAGTGTTTGTTCTTCTGTGTCAGACAGGAGAGACACCTCAAACTATGTTGTTTTTATTATTTGGATAAATTTTTCACTTTTCTTTGATAGTCATTTGAGAAATTTGCACAGACGAATGCAAGTAGCTTTTTACTATTTACATAGAAAATTCAAATGTCATTAAAAATTAATTGCAGTAAAATACACATAAAATTTGCCATCTTAACCAATTTTCAGTGTACAGTCCAGTGGCATTAGGTACATTCACATTGTGCAAACACCACCACCATCATCTGCAGAACACTTTTCATCTCTGCAAACAGAAATTGTCCCCATTAAACACTAATTCCCCTTCCCCATCCACCAGCCCCTGGCCCCCACCATCTACTGTGTCTCTATGGATCTGACTGCTGTAGACACACCATGTAACTGGAATCATAAAGTAGTCGTCTTTTCATCTGCGTTGTAGCATCGCTCAGGATTTCCTTCACTTGTGAGCCGAATAGTGTTCCATTGTGTGTTTGGACCACATTCTGTTTCTCCGTCTGTTGATGGGCACTTGGGTTGCTTCCACCTTTGGGCTGCTGTGAACATGGTGTACAAATCTCTCTTCTAGATAAAGGTTTCGTTTCCTTTTGAATGTATACCCAGAAGTGGAATTGCTGGATCATGTGCTAATTATATAGTTAATATTTTGAGGAACCACCATACTATCTTCCATGGTGGGAGTGTAAAATGGCGCAGCCTCTAACAGTGCCCAGGGGCTCCAATTTCTCTACATCATCACCAACACTTGTTATCTTG